CTCCACTTTTCCCTACATCTCACCTACCTTTACTCTGCTTTGCAGTCAGAATCTAGTCTGCAGTTTCTTTCTACTGTGTATTCTTTCTCTGACTGACTGTTCCATATGGCTGTTGTGGCCCGGCCTGTCTCAGCACCAAGCCACGGTAGCCATGTGGTTCAGCCTGAGTGGGGGAGTATGGACTTGAAAGATCCCAGCAACCCAACACAGACCAAAGACCAAACACAGGCATCTTGTCATCTTTAGAGAGCTCTCAGTTCCATGTTGTAAAACTAGAGTCTCTTGTTTATTTAGCATCTTCTTGGCTGTTTCTTAACCATGCTTCCATGGCCACGAGGAGGCCATTTCTCTCTTCCTGACCCCTCTCTGCTCCATGGCTCCTAACCCTCTGTCCTCCCTTGTAACTTACACACCTAACCTCCTGCCCAGGTGCAGGCCTATTCAAATGCTTAGTCCTGTAGAGACGCAAACTAGGAGGCATTCTACACTGAGGCCATGCTATACAATAACCGACCTGCTCGCATTAGCAATACAATAGTGGGCCAGACATTCCATAATGGAACTATTTCAGTCCCGGACATATGGCAAAAGACTATGGAATCAAACCTACAAAGCTGCAATACAAATGAACTCTTTCCTTCTTATAAATTATTTCATGAAGTTTGTCCCAGTGACAAGGCACTAAGGGAACATGGTAGTGTTAGATATATCTCTTCAGCATGCTGATGTCAGTAATTTTGGGTAAGTACCCTTCAGTGAGGTTATTAATTATATGGTGTTTCTAGCGTTTTGACAACCTTCTATTTTTCTGTAATGACTTCACTATCTTATCCCCACCAATAACATTCAAGTTTTCTACTTTCTCCATGTTCTCCTGCATTTTTTAAATGATAGCAAGCAATATGACCAGTATGAGCCAATATACCATAGCCTTTTGGTTCCCATTTACCTGAATAATAGCAATATCAACAACAGGGATATATACCTACTGGCCAGCCATATGCTTTTGTTCTGTGTTGTGTTGATGGAAAATCTGTTCAAATTCTTAAAACTCATTTTTGAATTATTCTTATGTATCTTGGATAACAGTCATCTGTCAGACAAATGGTTTGAACTCATTTTATTTCGCTCTGTATATGATCTTTTAACCCCATTGATTGTTTCCTTGGTGGTGAAGCAACTTTGAGGCTGGTGTATCCCTACTTGTCTAATATGTTCCCCTGTACTTTGGTCTTGTACCAATGAAACTATTGACTCGATGAATGAGAAGAATCATTCCTGTTTTCCTTCAGGAACTTTATAGTTTAGGATCGTGTGGTTTCAAGCCATTTTATGTTGGTTTTCTGTATGAAACGGGGTCAAACTTCATTCTTTGGCAAGTGAATATCCAGTTTCAAAACATTATTTCCAAGAAACTCTTTTATCCCTACTGTGCATTCCTGGCACCACTATTAAAAAATCAGATCACCTAATTTGCCTGTATTTACTACTGAGGTCTGTAGTCCTATTGAGCTTCTCTAGAGCCATCATTTCAAGCCAGATCACACTGCTTCAGTTATTACCAGTTCGGGTAGAAAATTAAGAAATGCAGCAGTTTAAGCCTGTTCAGTCTGTTCATCTCTCTGGCTATTCTTTGTTTTAAAGGGAAGGCAAAGACGAGAAAATTGTTAAAACTTTTTATTTTTGGAATTTTTGAAGTTTTACTCAGATCAGTTTATAGATATGCTGCATTTGCTTTATGGAAAGTATCTATATTTAAAATGTGAGGTACGATTAGATTTTCACATAGATATTTTTGAGTGTGTGTGTGTGTGTGTGTGTGTGTTGGGATTGTATTCTGGGAAGAAAAAAAGAATACAGGGAAGACAAAAGGGTAGAGGAGAGGAAAGAGGGAAAGAAATAAAGAAAATGAAGGAGGTAAAAAGGAGAAGTAAATACAATAAATGTTTTTATTAATGGCAGACACTCATGCTGGTGATCATGATTGTGACGTTATCACAAATGTATGATCACATCTAAATTGTCTATATTGTAATGACCAATCTCGTTTACATCAAAAATAATTAAAGATTTCCTTAAAACTAAAAGTTTGGGGCCATAAAGATGGTTCGATGGCTGAGTGCACACTGTTCTTGCAGAGGACATAAATTCTAATGTGAGCATCCACATTAGGCAGCAGCTTACAACTGTTGAAATATGCTGTTC